TGGAGTATACGGGATGGTAACAATCTCTCCCTAATGGCTTTTCACTCAGTTGGTGGCAGCCATTTTGTGATTTTTGTCCATGAGGGAGTAATGCGCATGCGTATTACAGATATAAAACCACCCACATAACTAATTGGATCCATTCCTGTCTCTAGACGCTTCGTCACTATGGCAGACGTTCATTTAACCACGCCTACAAGTAGGTGTGGCTTAACCAGTTCCGTACATGCACTACGTGCACGCGAGTGCATGCACCAACCAATCAAAAATTCAGAATCATGATCAATTGATCGATCGATCAATCATAAATGATTGATCGATCGATCAAAATTCCTGGCATCAGTTTCCGTAATCTTAAGGCTCTCTGATTTTAGTTTTAATCGATAATTTTGAAACAATCGGCGTGCCATAATGGGAGAGGCTACACACCTGGTTATCCTACTTTTATCAGGGAATTGTCATTTGGGAGTTGTCAATGACTGCTTAACTATATTCATTGTCTAAAAATTTACTGGTAAAACAGTAAAATTATGATGAGTCTATTGCTGCCAGTCACGTTTGTCATCATGGCTAATCTCAACTGACCGAAATGGCCTCAGAAATGCCTGTTACTTCGTGCAGTAAATCCGTTGATAGTACTAAATCAAATGCTGATATAACAATGGCTCTAAAAATAATTTTGATGAAGGATTGCAAAGTACTAGTGCACCTTATAAAGCTGAAATAGAAGCAGTTGCTTGTGAGCTGAATATCTCAGTCAAGAGAGTTAAGGTACGGTATAGTATACATGTGCTTATTATTAATGTAAAGCATAAATTGATGTCATATGTTCATCATTCCCTCGATTTATATTTAAGAAAAAAATTCTATGCATATTTTTTTGTTTTGAGCTGAACTAAGCATTAATTTCTAATCACATAATAGCTACATCTCTATTTGCTGTAATTCTCCCTCAAATTCCCCTCCCCCTTATTCTCCAGCTCATCTGTGTGTTTTTGGAAGCCAGATGAGCTATTTGCTCACTTGCCTTTGTTTGCATGTGTTTCTCTTTGTGTTATTTGTCCAGATCTGCAGTATAATAAGGATAATAATGATTATGATAATTATTATAAATGATATAAGAGACATTTTGAGCATTATGATAGTATATTTGTTATAGACCAATATTATTATAATGTACGATAGTTAATAATAATGTGAAAGTTCCTCTTGCTTATTTGTATTTTTTTGCCTGCTTAGGTCAATTGTTTTTATGGCAATTGATGATGATAAGCAACTTAAATTATGGCCTATACCAAGTTGAATAATATCTAGCTTTATCAAGTATACATCATTGAATAATAGTGTTGAAGCAGGAGTTAGATCAGTAGATACCGTATAGCCGGAAAACTTGGCATTCTAAAACTTTGGCGGGTTTGCATCAAAACTGCCTAAATATAATATTGGTGGTCTCTTAATTTGGCAGTTTACTATCTTGCCTTTTCTTTAAGCATTCTCAGCTCT